AATAGGCTACCGCCGTATTACAATTTAAGAATTAAAAAATTTAGTCGTTCAGTCCTTCAACAAGTTTATTATTTATATAATGTTATTACGTTACATTACCTCGAGACGATCGACGTTCATCATCGATATTCAAATACTTATACCTGTATATAAATTAGACGCACAAGGGGGGGGGGGGGGTTGGTGGCCGAGTGCATGGTCTAGCGCACACCAGCTCGGAGCACTTGGAGCGAAAGCTCGCACTGCAAAACCCACCCCGCCCCTGCCCGTTTCGATCTGGAAGAGCATCGTACCGGCGTGCGGTCGTGTATCACTACTGCGTGATGCACGTTAAAGACCCCAGGTTTGCGGTTGTGCCGCACTGGCTAAATTGCTCATCTACACCTGAGAGTCAGACGCCCACTAAGGCGGACTAACTTCCGGCTGAATAAACATACACACAACAATTTGCAATTAGACGCATAATAACAAAGAGCACAGCGTGTTGCCTCTTTTCTTTTGATGACTTTTTTTTTTTAAACCAGCGCAAGCTCGCGCATTCTCTCTTTTGAGACGGTTAGAACGGTCGCACATAAAACCCGCGTTTCTCCTACCCGACCGCTTCCTCCTCTCATTATGTGTAGTTGGTTATAAGTTATAACTAGGGCTCCATGTTTTCGGAGTTTATTTTTCGTGAAATTCGGAGGGTGTTTTTCGGAGTTTATTTTTGAGCGAAAATTCGGTGTTTATCGGAGTTTATTTTCGTAAATCCCCAATTCTCCTAAATTCGGAGATTACTTTCGCAGTGTTTCATATTAAAAAATAATAAATATTAACCGGATGCAAACGTATGCCAGATAAAAAATAAAACGCGCTTGTATCACTTAAGATTTCTTCAGTTGAATTTGGCGTTGGCGTCATTGGCAATACTAATATGTCCCGTGACAAAAGTCGCACACAAGTGTGGCTTCGATAAACGTCGATACCTTAAAATCAATAAACTGCCGGAGGTAGCCGCAAGGAAGCTCCGTAGTCATACCATCAATCTATCGCACAGCACGAGGTGGAGGGGTTAAGGATGTAATAGAGAGGTTTCAACTGCCCCTCTTCCCTATTTGATACAATCCCTATGGTCCATAGCTTTCGCTGTTACCCCCAGAAACATACCCTCTCCTTTCTCTAAATCCCAAATCCCATGGCCCAAACTGGAAACCAAAAGAGTGGCTTCTGTCGTGACAGGAATGGTACGATCGCCTGTTTCCTTTTATTTATTCACTTTCCCACAGCGCTAGGGTGGCATTACGGAGGGGAGGAAATTTTCGTTAATGTGACACATTTAAGCAATACAAAGGAGCGTAACAGAACGCGCACATGCACACCCAGTACACGGGAAACAAAAAAGAAAACACTTCTCACAATGCAGCAGAGAAAGCGTCATTGTCCAAAATGTCAACAACCTCCGAAGGCAATTGATTCCATTCCCTAATAGATTTGGGGGAAAAAGATTTAAACTGGTTTGTGTTACATTTATATTCACGTACCTTCCATTCGTGATCGACACAATAAGAGATATAATCCAGGGGGAAAATGTAGTTTTCGTGCTGTATACTAATTCTGTACTGGTAAACGTTGTGAAATAATTTTAGCCGTAGTTTTTTCCTTCTTTTTTCAAGAGATTCCCAGCCTAAGAATTCCTTCAGACTTGTCATGCTGAGTCGCCTGTTATAATTCCTGGGAAAATATCTAGCCGCTAAGTTTTGACCTCTTTCAAGTTTATTTCTATCAACAGCAGTTGGTGGGTCCCAGACTGTACACGCGTGCTCGAGAACAGACCTGATATAACCCTGAACCAATCTTGACGAGACAAGCCGTAAGACCCCCTTTTGACAACGGTCCGAAGCTTGAAAGATAATTATGGTGTTATTTTCCCAAAACCATTCTTCCCCGCGCTGCTCAAATTGTAAAAAAAAAAAAAAATTGCTGTGGGGCACCTGACAGATCGGAGTTTATCGGATAAATCCGAATCGCCAAAAATTTTACCGGTGGGTGTTTTTCGGAGTTCTTCGGATTTATCCGAAAACACGGAGCCCTAGTTATAACTAAATAAGCTATAATAATGGTGTATTATTCATATTTACTTTCAGTTTCAGTCAGGGAAAAGGAGTTTCGCGGGAACTAGAGCCAATAAATTAGCTGCGCTTGGAGTATCGGCACCCTCTTCCCCGACAGTGTTGTGAACGCCGCCATTCTGGTGCTTGTGCAGAGCAGGCGCAACTGCCGATCGTCATGATTCAAAAGTGCGACATCCTCAGCATTAGATTCGGTGTTAGGAAGCTTATGTAATGTTGCTTTGCTTTGTCGCACACTGTTTAAAGTGGAGGACGGAAAAGCGTTTCTTGTGATTTTAGATAAAGCTTCAAATAACTGGCAACCATGATTTTAAGCCACTATATGGCCAAGTGTCACTACTCTGATCCGTAGCTTATTTAATGACACTATTCGTGCTCTTGTTCAAGAGGCTTGTAATACCTGGAGGGGCCATGACGTAAGCCCCGTGGATTCCACAAGCGACTACCTTTTGACACCTGCCTTTTCCTCATTGTTCCCGCTTATGCCAGTAAATTAGCTACGATTCAGAGTAACGACACTTGGCCATATTGTGGCTTAAAAATCATGGTTGCCAGTTAGCTGAAGCTTTATCTAAAATCACAGGAAACACTTTTCCGTCCCCCACAAATGTTTAAACAACCCGCGACAGAGCATTGCAATATTGCATTAGCTTCCTAGCACCGCACCTAATGCTGAAGAAGTCGTACTTTTGGATCATGACGATCGACAGTTGCGTTTGCTTTGAACAAGACCCAAAATGGCGGCGCCCAAAATAATTTTGGGGAACGGAGTGCCGATACTTTAAAGCTCATTTAGTGACTCTAGACATGAAGTGAACTCGGTTGTATTATTTTCCTCTTCTTTATTGTTTATCGATTTCAATCATATCGAATAATGAACACACTATATCACGCTACGCGTGTGTAATTATTTGTCTTAGATTTAATAACCTGACCCAGTACTTAAACCATTCATTTATCGATAGTAAATCTTCCAGTATATTTTTTAAATGTGAGGGTAAAAAGACACGGAGATTGATGATGATACAGACGCCAACGCCGCCCTCGGAAATTTTTTGAACACTAGAAATCGGCAGTTTGTCTGCCATCCGCCAGGTAGCGCAACAAAACACCCAAACAGTTTTTAATTGTTTTTGAAATTAGCTAAGCTCTACACCCATTAAGAAACGAAAGCAAGATCATTGTGAAAATTTAATACATTGCAATGTATATCTATTCCAAACAATAAATGTTATTAGATGTCAATTAATCTGTTTGATGTCCAAAAAGATATGCATCAAAAACAGGTAAATTTGAAGGGCTCCTGGAGCGTTATGACTTTGAAAATGAAAAAAAGCCACCGTCCACCTCTTGGGCAACCATTGTAGTTCTAAATGTTATCAAAGATTTTATCATAGTTTAATTATTTCCTCAGCGGCATTTGAAGTACCATAACTCGAACCACAAAAAAGTGCTATGTTTGATATAAAATATCTAAACAAAAAAAATTTATACAACATTAAATTTTTTTCTGCATATTACCAATTATAAGCACTACATCTGTAGCTAATTTCATTGCCCTAGCACTTGTCATTAAAAACATATTTGTGCTGAAAAATGTCAATTTTAGGCAATATTTGGAGGCATGAAAAAAACAAAGTAGTGCAAATACCAAAAAAGTGTATCGTTATATTCTGCTCCGACATCATCCTAACAAAACTGCTATATTAGAACCGTGCTATCTTTAATGGATCGTTCATAAAGCATGAACTAGCGGAGTAAGTGAGGGTCCGCGCCATCATATTCGCAACGCTACAAATGCGCGTGAACAGTAAAAACCAACGCATACATAATATCAAATGAAAGAGGATTGCATTGCCTTTTGAATGACATCAATCCCACAAAACAGTATTTAGAAGGAGATGAGTAATGATCTGCCAAAAAGTACCTAAACTGCCACATTCAGTGGGACCGTGGCCTTAAATACCAACATGGAGCCAGGTACTATGAGCTTAGATTTTGCATTTCTTGTCATAGTAACCGGCACAGGTATTCCCGTATGCATTCCATCAGAAAAAAAATGTGGTTATCAAACATCATTTCTCAACGATAGATTCGCTGAGCAGATCCCATGCCAAGCTATGCTTTACTTCGTCCTGGGGGTATAGTACCTTATAAAATTGGTTCACAAGGCTGAAACTTTGCATGCACCTACAAACACCACCTGCAAATTTCACACCGATTGAGTGAGCGGTTCAAAAGTTTACATTCCCAGGTAGAGTCCTCCCTTAAAGAAACGGCGCAACAATTTTAATGTTGAAAGAATTAGCAGCTTGTATTTTCTATATTGTTTATCAAAGCACAAATGAGAAAAAACGTACCACCTTCCCCCAAAAAACTGCTATTCCGTCGCGTAATTGCGAAAGAAAAAAACTACTTATTTGCCAATTCGCAGCTGCTTATGGCGGTTACAGAAACTACACTGTCGAACAAGCGGGACAGTCCAAGGATGTCGACAAACCAGTCCCCCTCTACTGCTCGACGCACTGTCAGCTTGGCAGCAAACCGTCCTTTGTCTTGATCACCCCGTGCCAACCTTCGGCGATGCTAATCCTTTAAACAAAAATCAGCAATTGTGGAGGGAGTGGGCCCTGAAGACGGAGCCCAACGGGAAGCCAGGTGGTCCCCCAGTCACCCGAAAAATGGCGTGAGAGTTGGACCTTCAATTTGTTTCATTGTTTTAAAAATTAGAACTAGAGTATGGAAGAAAAAATGGTTTTCTGTTCATTTTATAGGTGATGCAGATTAATTCCTAAAGTTAATTGGCCAAAGTAAAAAAATTTTCATGCCGCTCCTGCGCTTGAGCTTTTGGCGATAAGACGCTGGTCAAAAGGTTCGTTTGTGTCTCCTCACCTGCGTGCTGGCCTCCGCATACACTCGAACGATGTCCTCCGTCCCAGATGGCCTTGCAAAACAGGAAGACAGAAGCTGGCATCAGGTCATCCTCATGCGAGGCATCATCTGCTCGTGTGGCAAAACAGTCCTCCTCACCTCACAAAGGCCCTACCGTCCTGGTATCCCTGGACAATTTGATCGATGGCCGGTTGTAGGTCGCTCGGGGAAACGCACCGACGTTCGGCGTCGGCGGTTGTGATGATGTTCCTGTTGGCAACCTGCACAGGGGCCCCCAGTTACCTCCCGAGAAAAAAACTAAAATATTGCCAGTGACCTTTACCTCTAAAGTCCTCTATTGCATGGAACGCAATATTTAAGCAGCAAATGTTTCTATTAATTAAAAAAAAATAAAACCGCCATTTTGGAAAAAGAACCCCAAAAACTATACTTTTACGGTGGAACCTCGATTATGCGTTCCCGGATTATGCGACGTCCCGCATTTTATGACAAATTTGCTCAGACCCAACAAACTCTCCATAGAGATAATGCAAAAAATGTTTAGTTACACAACGCGCGATTCTATGCGTCATACGACCATTCGCCGGGGATCCAAGTCTGCCGCAGCACTGGGTGGGAGCAGAGGACAGCACTTGCCCCCTTCCTTTCAAGGTTGGGAAATCTTGACTACCCACTCGGCGGTTTGGCATTACACTCTCGCTCAGCTCTGCGCACTACCAACGGCGCCACTACTCTTTCTGCACTTTCTCGTAGCCTCTCCCGGGACTGTACACGCTCCCACTGATTACTGCCATTCCCACTTAAGGAAAATCCGCCATCGCGATTGTGCACGCCGGCAGACACTGTATCGCAAACGGACACCACTGACGGTACGAAAAAAGCTAAAGATTATTGGAGAAGCATAAAAAAGAAAGGGGGCGACGAAGATTCCGGTGTCGTCACTGAAGACAATCCTCGCAAAGAAAGAGGCGATTCTGCACAATGCATGCAAGTTCAAACTGTAAAGGAAAGCGGCAAAGGGCGGCAAGCGTGAAACTCTTAAAGAGATACACTGGTTGCACCAAGCTCGCAGTCCCGGAATAAATGTTGACGGCGCCATTGTTAAAGAAAAGGCTGACCTCGTGGCATTGCACCTCGGGATTGAGAACTTCTGAGTAGAGGTGTGCGAATATCAAAATATTTCGAAGCGAATCGAATAGTAAAGGTTACGAATCGAATTGAATATTTTCGAATACGAATATTTTTTATTAACCAAGGATACTCTATCAAAAACGAACTGGGAATTCTTTTTCAGCAAACGTCATTATAAAAAGGTTAACTTTATTATGGCAATAAAAAATGTCACACATGTGACTGATAAAAAGACAGATAAAGTAATACTAGTAAAACACGATTCAAAGTATGAAGTTACAGAATGTTGTCATGAAGAAATGTAAGTTGTTCCACGTGTTTCTGGGAGCAGTGATGCTCTTCTGCTGGTCACAATTCCCCCAGACACTGAAAACAGGCGCTGGCTAGACACACTTGTGGCCGGTATGGCTAGGTACCTTCTTGCAAGTCGAGCCAACAGGGGGGTATCTTGTGGCACCCTTCTCACACCACCATTTGCAAGGATCCTCTTCCCGGGCCAGGACATCTTCATGCAAGTAGCTTGCTACCTCTTCTTCAGCTTGTGTCATTGAATGCTGCTTTTGTTTAATGAGGCTGTCCAAGTTTTGCCACAGCGCTGACCTGGACGGAACTTCAGGGGCCGCTGTCTCTGAGGACACCCCTGCGCATCTTTGTGTCTCAGGGATTTGTTGCGCCTCCTCAACTCCCAGGTTCTTCAACCAGTTCCCCATCGACCTGTCCTCTTCGTAGACCACTGCCTTAAACCTTGGGTCTAAAAGCATTGCCAAGCTGGCTACTTACGTAATATCCCGTCATCGCCCGCCCCCCGCCGCCCCCCCCCGCCCCCCCCCCCCCCTTCCCCGTTTTGGGCGAAATATCGATTTCGTAAAAAGCACCGAGTCAACGCCCACCCCACGTTTCAGGAAAACAATTTCATAAAAAAAGCACTGAGTGATTGCCCAGACCTGAAAAACGTCAATTCCAAGCCCCACAAATGGCAAACAGAAAAAAAAAAAAAGAAAAAAAAAGAAAGGGCGCCCTCCTGCATTTTTACGACTCCAAAATCGGAGGATGCGTGTGCAGAAGAAACACAATAAAGAAAAGAAAGCGAACCTATATTTATCTGGCAAACAAAAGCAGACACGTTTCCCATCCTTTCTCTCCTGCCCGCACCCCCCTCCCCCCCCCCTCCCGAAAAAGAAATAAATTAAAAAGGCCAGAAGGTCCGTTTGCAATATAGCGCCTGGATGCGCGGATCATAGGGTCAAAAAAGATTGTAGGAGGGAGAGAAAGAGATAACAGAATGCCGCTTTATGTTCTTTTTAGAGCGCAGCTCTTAGGGGCCCGTTCCCAACTTGGGCGGCGTCGGCGTCGCCGTCGGCGTAACCAAGGTCATCCCAAGGTCACGTGGCCCCCAAGGTCATCTCAAGGTCACGTGACCCCCAAGGTCACGTGACCCCCAGAGGTGACGTGACCCCTCCCCCAGGGTCACGTGACCCCCAGGGTCACGTGACCCCCAAGGTCACGCGACACCCAAAGTCACGTGACCCCCCTGAAGTCACGTGACCCCCCCGCGGTCACGTGACCCCCTCCCCCGAGGTCACGTGACCCCCCCCCCCCCCCCCCCGAAGTCACGTGACACCCCCAGGTCACGTGACCCCCGCCGAGGTCACGTGACCTCCCCGATGACGTCATCGTCACTGATGACGTCATCGGCATCCGCATCGTCATCATCACTGATG